ATGCCTGCGCATGCACAAAAATCACTTCCCAATGCAGCAGTAGGCTGAGTGGTGGGGCTGGCAGCCGGGTGTGCTCTAGCTGGAGCCAGGGCCGGGGCCCTGGTTAGGCAGTCCCTAATGGAGTAGCTGCTACACAGCCTGGCTGCTAGGATTTCACGGAGAGTGGCTGTGGTGCTTGAGCTCTGCTTGGAAAGCGCCTACCCTGGTCACGGGGGCCAAGCGCCACATGGAAAGCAGCTGCTCCAGCCGCCAGGGCCAAGAGAGTATTTTAAGGCATTATGTGAGGTGTCAACAAGTCTTTAAAGAAGAAAGTACTGTAAAGGTTTAAGATTTTCCATGTGATTAATCTGTCAGCCACAAGTACAATAAGGTTAAGACCCTTGGAACACACGCAATCAATCAGTCTGTTATCCTGTTTGGTTCCCCAAAAGTTGGAGCTTCAGGAACAGTCTTCAGACTTTACAAAAGTTTTTACTGGTTTTTTAAAATGTGTGTGCGTGGCAGTTTTTCAAATTCTTGGTAACCATCATGTCCCCCCTCCTTTGATTTGCCTTCTAAAATGTTGGGATAAAATTACCATCATGAATATGCAAATATATCAGAGCAGGTCCATGAACAGTTTTAAAAGGTTGGGAACCACTGCTCTAAACCAGGTTTGATCTATTCAAACAAAAATAGGAGGCCAGACAGAAAAGATTCACCGGTGGCTTAATTATCCGTACACTGTGGCTGTGTCTACACTGGGCCACTTATCCCGGAAAAGCAGCCGCTTTTCCGGAATAAGCTGCAAGCTGTCTACACTGGCCGCTTGCTTTTCCGGAAAAGCAATGACGATCTACTGTAAAATTGTCAGTGTTTTTCTGGAAAAACTATGCTGCTCCCGTTCTGGCAAAAGTCCTTTTCTGGAAAGACTGTTCTGGAAAAGGGCCAGTGTAGTCAGCACAATAGTCTTTTCCGCAAAAAAGCCCCGATTGCGAAAATGACGATCGGGGCTTTTCTGGAAAAGCGCGTCTACATTGGCCATGGACGCTTTTCCGGAAAAAGTGCTTTTCCGGAAAAGCATCCTGCCAATGTAGACGCACTTTTCTGGAAATACTTTTAACGGAAAAACTGTTCTGTTTTAAGCATTTCCGGAAAAGGGTGCCAGTGTAGACGTAGCCAATGAGAATTGTATTTTCCTATACACTTTGTCAGTGGGGAAAAGGAATAATCTGTCAATAGGCATGACTATTTCTTTGGTCTCAGCAGTCATGGAAACATACACAGAATCTGCACCACACAGATGTTTTCCCCCCTTCTGGAAGTTATAATATTTCATGAGATGTCTATTAAAGCACCTCTCTTTCATTGGCTATTTTGATTCTAAACTGATCACTTCAACAACTCCATTGATGGGAAATAGGTTTCAGTTTTTGAGCTAGAGGGAAAATATTTCTCTTATGAGGAGATGGCATTTCTGCTTGGTTTATTTTGGAGGTACAACTAAGATAAATGTCTCCTTACTGTGGTTTTAAAATATTCATGGGAAAATAGACTGTTTTGCGAGAGAATCTGATTCTTCAGAGTCAGTTTCTGACAAATCTCCTTCCTTCAAGTGATATAGAATCTGAAGCGTCACATTCAAGAAGGCTATGTTGCGTTCTTCGTCTTTTTTGTGTAGCAGTTTCATTTATCACACCTGTTAAGTCTTTGAGAATAGATGCATAGAATCAAGCACAGCTCGGGGGGTGGGGGGGTTGTTTCTGATTTGTTTTTGGCTTTTATAAGGCAATCATTTGAAGTTCTCTGGGACAACTGTCACTAGGCTGTGTGGGCTTAGGATCTGGGGAGACAATGGGCTCATCTAGACTACACTAAAGTGTCAAAAGAGGATTGCACTTTTGAAAGCAGAGCTTTCGAAAGTGAAAGTAGTTTGGATGTGGCTTTTTCATCAAACCCTCTCTTTCAAAAAGACACTCTTCCTCAAAAAATGAGGTTTACATGGCTCAAAAGGAGGAGGTTCCGAAAGTGAGATAAGATATGCAAATTTCCACAGAATCTGCATAACCTCTTTCGATACGTTAGCATAGTCTACATGAGCCCTAAGAAAGAAGCCACTCTGATTTATGAATGCCATTACCATTAGGCAAAGGAAGGGGACCACAGAAGTAAAAGAAAAGTCCCTTATCTCCTTAATCTATCTAGTTTTTCTTTTAGAACTGAATTTGATTATTACACTTATTTGTCTCTGCCTTTCCTCCACCTCCTGTGTGTTTATTACACAGAGTAACCTAGCAAAATTTGGCTGCTGAGTTTTCTTCCCCTCCCTCTGGTGACTCCATACGATCTACAGTGCAAGTAGTGACACTGAACAGAGAATAAAAGAAGAGTTGCAGGACACTGGACCACTCATATCTGAGTCACTGCCTCGTTGCTAGTACACAGCTGACTGCTTGCTGTGTGCAGTGCTGGCAGAGTATCAAGAATAAAACACATGCAAGCTCAAGCAATAAAAAATTGCTACAGCCACGATTCCATTCCTATACAGGGAAGGTCATTAGAAAAAGTTCTTTCTAGTAAAAGTGGTTTTTTTTTTTTTAAATCCTACCACCCATTTCTTTACATAGTGGCTGCAAACATGCTTCGGTGGTGCAATTAAGAGTTTGAAGGCTGAACTTTTCTACTGATAATTCTTGCATTAACTTAAATCTTTAAGCAGATATAAAAGTCTTACCCGTCTCAGAATAATCAAATGTGCCATATGCTCATGAAGAAAACTATATTTGTACATGGAAATCACAATTCAGAATTCAAGGCTTTTCTGCACGAATGCCAGAAAAACAGTGACCTTAGACAGCATTGAGATATATCCAAGGCAGAGGCCCAAAGAGCTACTAATGAACAATAGACTCCTTCCTAAGGAGAGAGAGTACATGATGATGTGAAAGCCTAGAAAATATTAAGCATGAAGACAGCTAACACAATGGAAACCCCATAACTGTCTGAGATGAACAGACTGAGCATACTATACATCCCATCCCACCATTTAAGGTAGCTAAAGTAGGCCAGGTCATGCTCTTGAGAGCATGGGAAGCTATACAAGGGGGAAGAAAGGTGCCAGGGCCACACATGGTGGTTGGGGAGTTACAGAGCAAGCCTGCTACACAATGGCTCCTGCAGCTCCTGTCCCCTAGTGATGACCAAGTTTGGCTCCCTGTTCAATGCGCTTCAATCTGACCAAGGTATACAAGGTTGCAGTGCCCAGCTCCACTTGAACCAGAACAGGAGATTTTAAGAGTCAAAGAATAACAAGTCTCAAACCCAGGATTCTTGGGAACTGGTATGCTGCTGTAACTGCTATTAATCTTAGAACATTAGAAATGGAAGAGACCTCGAGAGGTCATCGAGTCCAGTCCCCTGCCCACACAGCGAGACCCAGTACTGTCTAGAAGACCATCCCTGATAGATGTATGTCTATCTAACATGCTTTTAAATATCTCCAGAGATGGAGATTCCACAACCTTTCTTGGCAATTTATTCCAGTGTTTAATCACCCTGACAGTCAGGAAGTTTTTCCTAATGTCCAACCTAAACCTTCACTGCTGCAGTTTAAGCCCACTGCTTCTTGTGTTATCCTCAGAGGCTAAAGAGAACAATTTTTCTCCCTCCTCCTTGTGACACCCTTTTAGATACCTGAAAATAGCTATTATGTCCCTTCTCAGTGTGTTCCTTTCCAAACTAAACAAGCCCAATTCTTAAAGTCTTCCTTCATAGGTCATGTTCTCTAGACCTTTTAATTATTTTTGTTGCTCTTCTTTGGACCTTCTTCAATTCCTCCACATATTTTTTGAAACGTGGTGCCCAGAACTAGACACAGTACTCTAATTGAAGCCTAATCAGCGCAGAAAAGAGCTGAAGAATGACTTCTCGGGTCTTGCTCACAACACATCTGTTAATGCATCCCAGAATCATGTTTGCTTTTTTTGCAACAGCATCACACTGTTGACTCATAGTTAGCTTGTGATCCACTATGAGTCCTAGATCCCTTTCTGCAGAACTCCTTACTAGACAATCGCTTCCCATTCCGTATGCGTGAAACTGATTGTTCCTTCCTAAGTGGAGTACAGTAAACTTCCGATAATCCGGCACCTTTAGGACCCAGGGGGTGCCGGATTATCAGAAGGGGGGGCTATGGGGGTCTGGAGGGGGGTGGGAGGGGATGCCACCCCAGACTCCTCATAGCCCCCCCCCTTACGATAGCGGCGTTGCGGGACCAACCGCCAGTGCCTCAGCTGCTCTACCACAGGTGTCCCGAGAAAAGCCTGGCCTGCTCGGGGAAGGAGGGGGGGGGGCACATTAGCTGCGCCTCTCCCACCCAGCAGGCCAGGGAGACGCGGAGCAAAGCCGCGGAAGACCCAGGCGGGGGGACCGCCCAGATGCGCTGCGGTCCCGCCGCCCGGGTCCTCCGCGGCTTTGCTCCGCATCTCCCTGGTCTGCTGGGGGGACCCCCCCACTGCAGACCAGGGAGACGCAGAGCAGCTTTTCTCGCCCAGGAGGACGCGGGCGGCGGGACCGCGGCGCATCTGGGCGTCTCGCCGCTCCTGTCCTCCGGTGCGAGAAAAACTCTGTTCGTAACTGTGGATCCAACATAAGTCGGATTCGCTTTTGTTTTTTACCTAGTAAGAAAAGTTAATACTTTAAAAGTTCCATCATATATAGTCAACCACATATGTTTAACATTCAGAAACCATGCAAAAGAAAGATTCAGACAGAAACTTTGTTTTATCATTACTTGACCGTTTAAATTCCAGTTTTCCCTAAACACACCATTATTATATCCAGATATCCTCATGATGTTTTAAAGCCATCTGCTTCCAAGTTTTGTAAGAAACGGAAAAAAAAAAAATCAAGATAATTGAGAATATATATTCTCCAGCTCCAGAAATTACGTTTGTTGGTTGACATCACAAAATCTTGACTATTTCGTTTTAAATTGAAAACAAAACTCATGAACTACTCACCTCTGGCTGAATAGCTTTAAATACTGGGACATCCATTAGTGTTATCTGACCCTGAAAAAAAAAGTCATACATTACATTCAAAATTAATTTTCTTTCCCTTTAAAAATCATACCTAAGATGCCAGCTATGCTTGTTTTGCTTTGATGCATTTTCTTGTTTCACTCTAATCATACAAGAAATATCAGATATCATCAGTTACCAACAAATACCTTTGCTATTACCATTAAGAAACGCTGCATATGTGAAATATAAACCAGTGGTCAGTATTGTACATTTATTCAATTAAACAAAATCCTATCTACAAGCAAGTATGTTATTTTTATTAACCTAATCCTGCATTTGTGTGAATCAGGATTTAACACATATAAGCCATCAGATAAACTATAGAAAGACTTGTAAAAAAAAAAAAAAAAAATCACCAAGAAAGCACTTTCAATTTCTCAGTCTCTCTCCCTCTGCTTCAAACAACCTTCTCTAATCATTATATATGTATCTTTTGAAACATTTCTACCTCTCATTAATCAATCATGGGGTCATTTCTCATGTACGTAGCATGTGAATCAAAAAGCTGAGTGGTTCCATTGACCAAAGAGACACAAGACGAAAAAAAATATATTTTTTTCTTGTCTGACTAGATTCTTATAGGCCATCCCTCACTCACCACTGTACCAGTTTATATGCCAGGAATTAATAACTGAACAGCTCTTTTCCTTCCCACCACACAGAATTAATAAACATGGTTTACTTTTGTTTGAGACACCAGGAGAGCAGGGGAGCTATGTTTCCGTGTGAGAAGAACTAATGAGCAAGGTAGATTTTGTGTTTATTTTTCAATGCTGAATTCCATGGTAATTTCGGATCTCTCTTCAAGCAATGAATTTCATCTAGCCTTTTCTTGTGTTCCCTTGAAACGCCCATCTCTTGTGTACATGAAAAAGAGATGTGTGGCTCAAAAGCTTGTCCCTCACCACAAAAGTTGGTCCAATAAAAATATATTGCATTCTCCTCCTCCTCTCTTTAATATACGGGGACTGACATGGGTTCAACTACTCTGCATATCCCCTTCTTGCTGAGAGTTTCATGAGTCCAGTAAAATATGGCTGCTATGGAAGGGCATGGCTGGAAAACTAGAGCGTCTGCCCAGAAACAAAAGCCAATAGCACGGAAAGATTTGAACTGTAGGACAGTCACTGAAGTTAGACCACATTTAAAGGAAAGCCAATTCAGAGAAAAAAGCACAAGCACAACATCCCCAAAAGTGACCTGGGTTGCTAGACAGAAAGACTACTATGCTTTGTAACTCTCAGCGCTCTTTCGGGGCATGGCTTCACTCCTAGATAGGAGCGGCAGCAGTCATGCCAGCTTATCCCGTGTGTGAGAATCTGTGACAAATTCTGTAACCAATGTACTTACCAAAAATCTCTTTGCCTGCCCCCAAAAGACTGTGGGCATTTTTGTTACCATGGCTATTTGGGCATCCAACAGAATTGAGCATAAAAGGACTCCAACACTATTGACAACCACAAAGCAGATGCCATCAACAGTGGGATGTTTTAGAAAGAAGTCCTTTTAGGTGCTTCTCTTTTACAAATGGTAACATCTCATGCTTATCTTTCTTTAAACTGCTAGTCCTCCAATTACGGATATTGGGTAAGCACTGGGAGATCAACTGATCATGTTGTTATAGAACTGAACTAGGTCTTAAAAATGTCTTACTTCTGAGAGAGATTTCTGGGCATAAGCATGATACTAAACCCCAGTTACACTGATTTTTACAGTCAACTACAGATGGATTTTATACACACACACACACACACACACACACACACACCACGCGCGTGCATATTTGGACACTTTTTTTGGACATCAACAACATATTCACAGACTTTTCAAACCAAGGGTGTATCTACACAGCAGGGCTTAACTCAAAATAAACTACGCAAATTGAGCTACGTCCATTGTGTAGCTTATTTCGAAATTGGGAGCATCTACACAGCACTTATTTCGAAACAGAGCACTTTTTCTCCGACTTCCTTTACTCCTCAAACAATGAGGGTTACAGGAGTCAGAGTAAGACGTCCTCCAGCTTGACAGAATTTTGGCATTTCAAAATAATAATGCTGCATAGACGTACCACAGGAGTCTTAGTGCCACTTTTTTCTCTCAAGTTTCCCTGGAATCACTGATATGTTACTATGCAACTAGTTGCTTTTAGTCTGTCATTTATCACTATCAGACACTAGAAAGTTTCTCAGATCCTTTTAAAAATTATAGAATAATAATTCCCAAGCTGCCTTCTTAACAGTTTGTATTAATAGATTTTTAACTCCCAATCAAGTAGCAAGAATATTTCTCTCCCCATGACAGCAGAAGCTATGCTGAATTCTAACACTACACTTTTAACTAACTACTAAAGCAGTGGTTTTCAAACTATGGGTTGCGACCCAGTAGTGGGTCGCAGGATGTCAGGCACTGGGTCTCACTGCTGCAGGGTGGCCTGTCCTGGCACCCCAGACTGCACTATGCCTCAGAAGTGGCCAGCAACAGGTCTTATATGGGGGAAGGGAAGAGCGCACAAGGCTCCACGTACTGCCCCTGTCCAAACATTAAATCTGCACTCCAATTTGCTGGGAACCTACTGCTGGCTGCTTCTGGGATGCAGCATGGCTTGCCAGGAGAGGCAGGAAGCCTGGCATAGCACCCCCACTGCACTGCTGACTAGGAGTTGCTCAAGGTAAGTCCTTCCTGTCTCAGCCCTGACACCTCTCCAAAGCCAGAGCTTCCTCCTACACCCCGAAAGCCCACTCTCTAGTCAAAGCATGTTGGACTGCCAGCATCAACAATTTTCTTCAACTGGGTCATGAGAAAAAGAGTTTAGCACACTGCTTTTCAAAGTAGTGGTTCCCAGCTGCTATGGACCTCTGGCTTCCGGACCACAGCGGCTCTGGGGGCCAGAGCTGGGATACACCACTCACCACGGCTGTGGGAGAGACTTGTCCTGCCCTGCCTCTCAGCCAACCAGCACCGGGAAGGGGCGGGAGTCTCCTCCTGGTCAAGGAAGAGTGCTTCCCTGCTCAGCGTGGGGGCCATGCGGTCTCCTCTTGCAGCACAGGAAAGCGCTCTTCTTTGGCCCGGAGGAGACGCTGCACTATGCAGCCCTCCCACAGCGCAGGGAAGCGCCCTTCTGCGGTCCAGAGTAGACCCCGCCCCTGCCTGGCACTGGCTGGCTGAGAGGCAGGTCAGAACACACCTCTCTCAGCAGCCACTGGGCAGCAGCAAAAGAGCACTTTCCTGTGCTGCAGGAGGAGCCCGTATGGCCCCCACACTGAGCAGGGAAGCACTCTTTCTTGACCAGTGATAGAGTTGTTGCAACGCAGGCAGCAGCAGAGGGCTAGGTAAGTGGGGTAGGGCAGGCACTGAGGTCTCCAGGGACAGAGCTAGTGCTGGGGTGCTTTGGAAGCTGAGCTAGTAGTGGGGGGGGGCGCTTTGGGGGGAGGGCTGGCACTGGGGAGAGCCCTGGGGGGGGGGCTAATATTGGGGGCTGGCA